CCATATAATACCACTAACACAACATACATACATACACATAAATATACACACACATGTGAAATGTCAATAACGCCCCTCACTTAAGATAAGAAAACTGGAAGAAGTTCCCGAGTCCGAAAATCGTCCCGACTTCCAGAAATTCTAAAAATGATACCGTCGCTTCTAATTGACTTAAAATGACTAAAAATACACTTCTAAAACACTCGGCTAAAAAAAAAATGACCAAAACGCCCCTCGGGGCCCGTATGCCCGTAAAACGAGGCAAGGATTAAAATAATCGATAACATTACAAGTGAAATGTCTCCACCTGACCATCTCCCTCAAGAAGAACTTCCTCCCCATTCCAATAACGACACTTCTTCCCAAGCCATTCCTTCACTTGTAGCTTCTTCATCCATTGATCAACCTACTCCAATCTTGTCTGCAGATCCACAAATTCCTCCATCGCAGCCGATATGTACAACAACAACACCTGGTTATCTCTGTGAGTATCATGTTGGTATTTCTCTTCCTTTACAAATTATCAGCATCTAACTCGACCTTGGTTGAAGCTACATGTGTAACGACCCGAACCCATGGGTTCGAATCGCTAACCGGGTCTTTACCCGAACCCGAGAACATCCAAGGGTAAAACAGTCAACTAAGGTGTGGTAATAAATAATATAACTCTAAATGAGTCTAAATAGGTCAACATAAGTCATAAGGGTCATTTAAACCCATGACACATGGTCTTGGACATAAGAATGAGGATTTCACACAATTGCCCCCTTCGTTTTCAAAGAATTCTGGAGCAGTCTACACTAAAAAGGTCATAACTCTCTCTACGATTAGAATTTTTGAGTGAAATTAATTTCATTGGAAAGTTGACTTAAAATCCTTGAAGGTAGACTCAAATTTGACCCAATTTGGAGTTAAAATGAGTGAGATATGATCATTTGAAGTTAGGGTTTAAATGCTGTCTCAGTTTCATTTCGGCAGACATGTGTGCACTATACCGGTCGACCGAAATGACCCATCGGTCGACCGAAATGACTCACTGGTCAACCGGTTGTGACTTTGAAGTTTCCTAAGCTACTGGTTTTGATCCCAAATGATACCGGTCAACCAAAATGGCTTACCGGTCGATCGAAATGGCCTAGAAATGCAAGTTTCTCACTGTTTAAGCACCTAAGCAACTTGATAACATATGGTTAACACTTGAAATCTTTAATACGATCAAAACCTGCCCCGTAACATCCATAAACATGTATATAATGATTAAACAACATTTATACATCTTAGTACGATCAAATTACATCCTTACATAATGAGATAAATTCATTTATATTGAAATTGAATACATGAGACAATAAAGATAAACTTCCTAACTACGTCTAAATATGTGAAGGTGTTTCATCCACTTTGCCGCTTCAAAACCCTAAAAAATAATAAGGCAGGGGTGAACACTAGGCTCAGTAGAAGTCGCCTATGGCGTTAAGTTTAGACTCCATTGAGCCACATACACATAATGAGGATAAAAGTGAAGTCGGGGTCATGCTTTAGGGAATTCAAGTCATACTATAGTATAAACAAACATTTGCATCAACCATATACTACATTTCAACAACTACGTGCATGATGTTAAGTGTAATGCACCCTGTCCCCTGCTTGGTCTGTATCGACCTAACTTTTACTTTTCGAAAACCCGCTAACTGACTTTACCAATACGAGATTGATAACTATCCCCGGTTCCAATTATGGCAAGGCCTGGCAACTGTTAAAGGGCCTAGTATCAACTTTTTCATGCCTTACACCGAGCCACGCTCCCTTTAGGTCAAGTTAGCACCGGACTAGCGAAATCTGGTTCATTTTATAAAACCTCTCATTCACAGAAAAACATTTCCTTTCAGAAAACTTTCTTTTTCAAATCCCTTTCAAATTCCCTCTTTCTTGTCATGCCATGCCATGCAATGTACCATTTTCATTCATGAAACAAGATTAATATTTAAACATGGCATACTTCATAATTCTAATACAACATAGCATTTCCAACCCAATGAATATAAACAAAGCCTTCTATGGAAATTTAATACAATCATAACATTTTTCTCTATGCAATTTCAAACAAGGCATTTTCACATGAATCAACCATGAGTACACTTAATGTAAAATCATATACAATCCAACACCATGCTTTTAACACATATACAAGCAAATCATGCTTTTAAACACTTAGTCATAATATCAACATTCATATAATAGCAATTTTATTTCATGGCTTTCAAATCACAAAATTTTAAGGAAGAAAAAGTAGATTTACTCAACAAAAGCTAAAGTTTGAAGCATTAGGGAACCCCTACCTTATTGAAGCTAGCCAAACAAGCCCTAAGGCCTCCCAATAAGGTAGGGCTAGCCAAATTCTTCCAAACCTTAGCAACCATGGTCTCAAAATTTGGCCCTTGACATGCTCTCCAACTTTCCCTTCTTGATCATCACCAAAATCATAGCTTAAACCTTCCAAAAATGGCTTAGAAGCATTATGCAATATAGATACATATAGATATAGAAAGAGAAAATAAAAACTAGAGAGAGAAAGAAGAAGCTTCTGTTGAATAAAGAGGAAGAGAGTTGGGTTGATTTTTATGAAATTGATTCCATGGCTCTAAGAGTGTCACTTGTCAAGTTTTGAGTGAAACCAACTTTTGGTCAATTTACCACCTTGTCCCTCACTTAAACAATTCCTTCCACTTAAATCCCATAAATATCTCAATGAATGATTACATCTATATATATATATATGTGTGTGTGTGTGTGTGTGTGTGCGTGTGAAATTTCCATAATGCCCTTCACTTAAATGAGAAAATCAGGGAAGCTCCCGAACCCACAAATCGTTCCGACTTTCCGAAAATTTTTAAAATCAATCCCTTGGCTTCTAAGTGACTTAAAATGATTAAAAATAAATTTCTAAAACCCTTGGCTGGAAAAATGACCGAAACGGCCCTCAGGGCCGGCGTGGCATGCAAAACGAGGCACAAAAAAATTTTAAAAAAAATTAAAAAAAAAAATTTAGAAAAATCCGGAACATTACAACAAGTATCACCTACCCCTTATCTAATGTTCTTTCACATGATAGATTATCACCCAAACACCGTGCCTTCACCATTTCTCTTTCAGTCCAAAAAGAACCATCCTCCTTTGCACAAGCAGTTTGTGATCCTAAATGGCGTCTCTCTATGCAACAAGAACTTGATGCCCTCAAAGCTCATGACACATGGTCTCTACAACCATTACCTCCTGGGAAGAAGCCGGTTAGGTGCAAATGGGTATACAAGATCAAAATCCACTCCAATGGCACTATGGAATGCTATAAAGCCAGATTGGTAGTAAAAGGTTACAATCAAATCGAAGGCCTAGACTACCGAGAGACTTTTGCTCCCGTTGCAAAGCTTATGACAGTTTGTTTTCTCCTTGCCGTAAGTTCAACTCAACACTGGCATCTTCACCAACTCAATGTCTATAATGCATTCTTACATGGAGATCTTAATGAAGATGTTTATATGTCTTTACCTCCTGGTATCGGACGAAAGGGGGAGACACGAGTTTTCAAACTTCGCCAATCATTGTACGGCCTTAAACAAGCTTCGCATCAATGGTTCATTAAACTCTCTACTGTTCTCAAGCAAGTCAACTACAAGCAATCAAAGCCTGATTTTTCCTAGTTCGTCTGATCCCAGAACGGTAAATTCACTGCTCTCCTTATTTATGTAGATGATGTTATCCTAGCAGGAAACAATCTACAAGATATTGAAGACACCTATTCATTCTTAAAGGATCAATTCAAATTGAAGGATCTTGGACAATTGAAGTATTTTCTAGGTATAGAGGTTGCAGCGTCTAACAAAGGCATTGCTCTTTCACAACGAAAATATGCTCTCAAGATTCTTGAAGATGTTGGATATCTTGGTGTGAAATCAACTTCTTTTCCCCTAGAACAAAACTTATCTCTCAGTAAGTTTGAAGGTGACTATTTAGGGGGAAAAAAAAAAGGTTTGAAGGTGACTATATTAGTGATCCATCTCCATACCGAAGGCTCGTTGGGCGGTTAATTTATTTAACTATCACACGACCCGACTTGGCATATGCAGTCCATGCATGTTTTAAGTCAATTTATGGACAAGCCACGAGTACCACATTTAGAAGCAACCCACCGTGTCTTACGATATGTGAAACGAACAACAGGACAAGGAATATTTCTTTCTACAGAAAGTTCAATTAATCCAACTGAATGCCTTCCGTGATGCAGATTGGGCGAAGTGTCGTGACACTCGACGGTTAGTTACTGGGTATTGCATACTTCTTGGCAGTTCATTAATTTCCTGGAAAACCAAGAAGCAAACGACAGTATCACGGTCCAGCGCAGAAGCCGGATACCGATCTATGGCTGCAACCTGTTGTGAAATTACCTGGTTAAGAACAATTCTACAAAATTTGGGCATCAAAAATTCACATCAAGTTAATCTGTATTGTGATAACCAGGCAGCGCTCCATATTGCTTTAAACCCAATCTACCATGAACGAACAAAGCATATAGAAATTGATTGTCACCTTATACGAGAAAAAAGTTTGAGATGGAATGATCAAGATGACTCATTAACCCTCATCAAACCAGCCAGCTGACATTTTTACAAAACCATTGAGTTCTTCACAATTCTCGACTCTACTCAGCAAGTTAGGAATTATCAACATACATTCCAAACTTAAGAGGGAGTGATAAGGAATATAAAGTCAACTAAATCTGGGATTGCACAAGAACTGGGATTGCTTCCTTATTCCTTACGTAAAGGAATGTAAAGTCAACTAAATCTGGGATTGCACAAGAACTGAGATTGCTTCCTGATTCGTTTCCATTTTCGTAAATAGGCATTTATAGTGTACATGCACGGATCTAAAATACTTATTGTATTGTATATATATTCCCATATTATTCATGAACAGAAATAGAGAAATTCATTCCTTTTACATCAACCAAAATGTGGTAATGAGTCGGCAACCAAAATGTAGAAGAGCCCCATAACTCCTGTATGCCTTTTAGCACTGCTATAATTTGATACCAGAACTAGAGTCTCCCCATGAGATATCTTGACAGAGCCGGGTTGAGGATAACAAGTGGACATTCCAACAATATAACCAGCCTCGTTTCCTGCTTTCTTTCCTTTTCCATAAGTCGGTGTTGAATGGCATATTATCCGTCCATCCTAATTCAATATTAGTCGATTGTCAATAATCACATCAAGGTAAAGATATCACAGAAGGACAATTAGTTGCATGCTTTAGCAAAGAAATTTACTAAAGGAATTTGTAATCTGTATCTCAGAAAGAAATGCAGTTCCATGAGGGGATAGCCACTTTTTCATTCTTACAATAATACTCTTTTGTGGTAAATTTTTATGGATAAATGATCGCCAAAGAAATGCAGTTCCATGAGGGGATAGCCACTTTTTCATTCTTACAATAATACTCTTTTGTGGTAAATTTTTATGGATAAATGATCGCCATTTTGTCATGATTTTATCCAAGATAATTAAGCATTCATGTTGTTGCTCACCATGTAAAGATAGAAAAGAAAAAGAAAAAAAGAAGAAGAAGCTAACAGCATGTTCCATCTTCTACAATTTATATTGAGAAATTAAAGAAATCATCAAATCCTCACGTGGGAATGGAAGATTACTCTAGCATCAAGCCTCAGAAGTTTCATCGTTACAGGCAAAAAAAAAAAAAATCTAATTCGTGGTGAGACCTATCATTTGATGATACATCTCGGTAGAAAAAAAACAACTAATATCATCAATGAGGGCAGTTAAGGATGCTAAGTCTGATAACATACCATGAAAAAACAATATCAGACCAATCTAGTTGATGAGAGTAAAAGAAGACATGGGACACAAATAGGAAATAAGGAGTTAGAAAATCACCTCTCCATAAAGAGTCGAACCAATTCCCCCTCTATGCTGGTGTGCAACACCGTAGATGACATTACCGCCAGTTGGCATAGGGATGCTTACCCTTTTGGTGTCAATGCAAGCATCATGAGCCCCATCAGTGGCAGTGCAAGCAGTAACTTCATACTCCACCTAATATAAAAAAGACAAAGAAACAAACAAGTTAACATTAATTTCCCCCCTTTCTTTTTTTTTTTTTTTTCTTTTTTTTTTTTTTTTTTTTTTTTTTTTTTTGTTGCTTGCAAATAATGATAAATGGAGTAATCTCCCAATTCATTCTCTTACAAGCTAATTTAACAAGTATCGTCACAGCTCTACAATCAACATAATCTCTATGTATGCAATCAAGACCTTACATTGTAAAATCTACCTTTATACACTTATGCGGAACATCTGCTCTGATAAAGATGCTAATTGTACTTGCACTTAAAGAAAAAAGGAATTCAGGGCTTGTAAATCTGTTCTGATACAAGACGATCTTTTAGTGTCATATTTTCAAAAACTGATGTCAGCATAATTTTAGAAGCCTTTCTATTGATATATAGATGCATAATTTAGACCAAAGTTAATGACTTCAAGCCATAGAAGAAAAGTTCACTCACCTGGCAATGATGTTCTATAACTCCGTCATCTAACTTCTTCCACATGTCGGTTACATCAAATATATATATTTTAATGGGCAAAATGAGCTTATTCCAGTCAACCCACTTCACTGTATATCTCATGTATAGACCACTCTTGGCACCCCCAAAGCCTTGTCTCACCCTGCATTGTGTATGATCATAGCAACAACTCAAGCCTCCCATATAACCTGGCGTCAAAGGTTTACCATTTTCATCCTTTGTAACATTATAAAGATCACACCTGCATTCGGTGCATCCCACCCTATCCTCCACACCCCGCGTATCAATTGCATGGACATTCATCAACCATTTCTCCTCATATCCATTAGGAATTTTTGCTGGATTACCAACTTCTATTCCATAGGGATCTGGCACATGTGTGGCTGTTCTTCGTGTTTCAGATCCAAGGCCAAAATACTGCCCAAGAGTAGTACCACATACACCAGCATTGCTCACGAAAATAAAATCAGATTCATTGTTTGGAACTTCTACACTTTTAGGCTGATAGTATCTCACAAGAAGCCAGTGATGGAGATAAGTTTCGTAAAGGGGAATGGGATTTCCTGCCTCATCAACTACTTCAGCATTGAAACTCTTGATGGCAATATGACCTCTTGGAAAGTCAATGTCATAGTAGTACTTGTTTACCACTGATCCTGGTTCCAGTACAAACTTAGGAGATAGGAAGACCGACGATTTTACGCCATTTTTAGTACTTATTCGAGCTTGTGAAATTTGAACACTTAAACCCAATAGGAGAATTAGTAAGGAAAGCAACCAATCTCCAGAACAATGTGCCATATTTTCTGCGAATGTCAATAATCTCTGGTTAGACAATAAAATTGCTTAAACACAAGTATAGCTCTAAAGGTGAGGAGGACTGAAATAAATACATATTTAGAAATTTTCTTCCATAATGTCAATATAAATACGTAGAAATGGCAAAATTTTGGCCGGGAAGAGTGAGAATGCTATGAGGGCAGTCACTTCGTACGAAAACTGCCAAAGGTAATAAACACCCTTAGAGGGTCCACAGTGGATATATAGCGAAAGATGGCCCAAAAACAAAAAAAAAAAAAAAAAAAAGCCCATTTCCTCATAAACCAAGCAAATCTATAGGGGAGGAAGACCGAAATAAATAAATATATAGAATTTTTAAAGGAAAAAAATGTTGCACAATTTTATGTATGTCCATAATGTTTCCAACATTGTCGTGTCATTTGTTTATTTATATAAGATGGAAGAGTGTAGGACGTGTTAGAAGAGTGTCTGGAATGTGTTGACTAAGTATTTGAGATATATCAACCAAGGATCTGAAATAATAAAAATTCTTTTTACAAAATGGACACGGCCATGAAATGTTAGACACATATCGGAGTGTCCACGACATCTTCATAGAAGCATCATGCTTCTTAGAAGATGGCAAAATCTGAAGGGACTACGGAATGAGATCCCCTCCCCAAACCGTCCCATTGCCGTCCCTAATGATATTCTTTAACCTATTGCCATCCCTAATGATATTGTTTAACCTGAAGGAGATTTCTAACTAACAAGATCATCAACAGAAAGCTACTAAAAGTTAGACATAAAGATAACTCACCCTTTTCCAAGAACCTTATAATTGGTTCTGTAATTTTGCTATAACTAAAATTTTTAGAAAGCAAATAGATTATTTGCAAAACCCACGAAGCTAAAACAAATTATATCCATTTCTAGTTCTCTAATTCAAGCAATTCAATTGTAAAGCAAGGACAGTTATTATGGGGCTTTAGGGAATATTGTCAAAAGAAAACACAGACAAAATGACATAATTATTTCATCACACATTGATAGCTTGAACTGGCTAGAATAATCTGTCTTTTATTTTTCTTTGAATTTAATGATTAAAACAGGAATTAGAAAAAAAAAAAAAAAAAAAAACAAGAGCATACCATGAAATAGATGAAACCCGCTAGATGATGATTCAGAGTAGCTTGGAAGAACCCAAGTGACTGTGTTATGATATAAATACCAACAGATGGTATATAAAGTGCCGGAAATCTAAGACTCAGTCGAGGTGAGGTAATTTTTAATGGGAAAAATGAAATCACCAATGACGATATATGAATTGAATGGAATTTAAAAAGAAGACTATAGATACAAGGAAATTTCTGAGAAGGCCTTGGTAGCCTTAGTGGTGGGCATCTCCCCATTGGTGCTTGGGAGTCAAGTTAGAGCCTTCTCATTTACTCCCTCCCTCCTCCATCCCAAGATGAAAAAATAATAATAATAATAATAATAATAATAATAATAATAATGATAATGATAATAGTCTGTCGATTAGATGAGGTAAGCCATGAGGTAAAGTCTCGGATTTTACGAGGACGCTGAGCAGTGCAGACAATATATCACATCCCCTTTTGTATCTTTGACTTGTTAATGTTATCTTTGTGGACAAGTATTGTGAATTAAAATTACGGTAAACTAAAAAATAAATAAAAAATAAAAAAATTTGAACTGTTGGATGGAGGGGAGGTATTTGCAAAAAATCTAACCTCCGGGTACGTTGCATCCATCCCTTGTTTCCAACACTTTTAATTGATAAGAGTAAGGGTTGAATTTTTTTTCTTTTTCTCTTATTGATGAAAAATATATAATAATAATAAATAAAAAAGAGGATTTAAGGTTTGTAAATACTGTAAATTTCAATTGGTGCAGTTTTGTTTTGTGTTACTTATGAGTTTCAGATGGAGGATGGGTATAAAGATTTGTGGGAGAGAGGGAGGGGAGAAGGGAGAGGAGAGTCCGGTTAAAAAGAGGGATTCTAAAAAGTTTAAATAAGAAGAGAAAAAATAGGCAATAAGAAATTAAATAATAATCATTATTACAAAATTTAAAAGTTTAGATATGTGTCTAAATTTTATTGGGTCACATGATGAGAAGATCCAAATATTGCCCATAAGAAAATTTTAAAACATAATTATGATACTCCCGCTAGCCCAAAATAAAAAGATGGAGAAAAAAATTCAAAAATTCAAAAATTATAGCCATGACGTATTGTCTCTTGGGCAAGTGAACTATTTTATTTGTTGGAAAAATTACACATAGGTAAAGTTGGGAATCTTAAATAACCAAATAGTCTATTTTAAAATTTTACTTTTCAATTTGATTGAATTTTAAAAAATAATTACAAATGTATCAAGAATTATTTTTAAGGTCCAAAATACTCTCATTCCAAAATACCGAAGTATCCTTCATGATATCACATAATTCCAAAACTCCAAAAAAAAAATAAGAACCCTACTTTGTTCTGCCAATCTCACCAAAATATCCTTCATAGTATCACATAATTCCAAAACACCAAAAAAACTGCTTTGTTTTGCCAATCTCAGTATTGGTGTTTTTTTTTAAGGATTGTTGTTTCATTGATTGCTTGGTAGGACTTCTTATATCAGGATAATAGAGACTGGATGAAGGTATACCCAAAACGTTTTTGGGATTTGCCCAATCTCATGCTAAGCTTTTTAGTGGGAAAAAATTACCCAAATAAAAAATCAATAAATTCGAGGATCTTTGCTTTATTCCCTAACTTTGCCAGGGGGAAAGGTAGCACAATAGTCGGTGGTTTTTGCAAAAAAGCGTTGTGCATGAGAGAAAAAAATCTATATATATATAATTTTTTTAAAAAAAAAATGTCGATTCCATAGCAACAATTATTTTTGATCAATTCATAATGACCAAACAAGTGATTAAGGTGTCTCTTATAAAATTAGATTGTTAAGATCAAATGAGTATTCGGTTAAGAAATTGTTAAAAAAAATATCCATTACTCTTTTCTTTCCTAATAACTGGAATATTTTTCTCCAACACTGAGAAGAGCTGTAAGGGAATGATTTCAGCGTTACCTTCCTCATGTGTTCTTAGCAAAATAGTTTAAGTTTCTTTTGGCAAGTTTATATATATATATATATATATATATATATATATATTGTTGACAATTAAACAATTTTATTGCAGAAGGAAATAGCAACTAAAGAGGCATTATTTTCAAATTACATTATCTTAAGAAATAAGAAAGATATTTAGGTAATTTGAAATAAGAGCTTGAGGGTATTTTGGTCCTTAATAATAATTCTTGATGTTTTTGTAATTATTTTATTTAACTCAATCAAATTGAAGTATGAACTTTAAAAATAGACTATTTTGTTATGTAAGTTTCCTAAGTCTATTGTAGTTTTTCCTTTTTTGTTCAGATAGTTTTGGTCTAAATTTTTTATTTTTTTCACTTAGATAATTTTTGCTTTTGTTTTTATGTAGAAGAAAATGAGAAATGAAAGCTCAGTTATCTATAGTTTTTTAAAAAACTATATTTTGGAAGGACTTTTAATAATAAAAGAAATTTTTTATCTGGACAAAACATTTTTGTGGAAACTGTTCTACCATTAAAATAACTTGTTCTTCTCAAATTGATCGAAATAACCATAGTCCAGTAGCTGCCTGTTATATATTATAGTGGGTCCACAATTATAATATTATATAATCAAATTGTAGGCTTTGTAATAACAATGATGACACCAAGGCTGTATCCACAAAGAAATCAAGTCTTAATTAGTTTGGTGAAGCAAGTAATGGATTACCATTGTCTTGTTGATGTGCAGCTATTCAAACTGATATAAATAATGGGTGTCTAAATTTAAAGGAGGTGAAACAATCGGTTAAGAATTATATATACATATACTTGTATAGTTTGTACATGATTTTATATAGAAAATCAATAGCATTCTTTCTCTATCACTGTTCTCATCTTTCATTTATAATACTGCCAATCTTTTCTTACTTGTCCTGATTTTTCTGTTCCTCTGTCGGCTTTCTTTTCTTACCTTCTCCCAATCAATTTTCAATTCCTCATCCTTGACAGGGAGATCAAGCCCACAATCCAAACCAAAATTAGAGGATAATAAGGGCAAAAACATCCAATAACAGCACTATTTAACATATCAAGTAGCACACTTCATTTTCATATATATATATATATATATACACACACACATACATACATACATATATGCACACGCACAGTTATGGATTCTTTGGATTTATGCATTCAATCTAAGCAAAGAAATAAATTGACATAATTACAGTAATCAACTGCACAGCTAACCAAAATAATTAAATAAAAATGGTTAATTTTACCAAATAAAATAAAGCAACGGATAATATATGTATGTATTTGATAATCAGCTATAAGCCATAGATTAGCAATTTATATGAAACTGAACTTGTTTTCTTAAACAGGGCATTTTAAATTGCAATTCAGATTGCAAATTGAGAAACAATGGTCTCTGATAAAATGAATTTTATTATTAAACAAAGAATCCATTATAGATGTTGAGATTTGTAAATTTCACAGAAGACCCAACCAAAAGCTTTTGAGAATTAATTTTTTTTTTTTTAAAAAAAAAAAAAACAAAGCAGCTTCCCACATTTTTCTTACTAAAGCTGGTCTTCCCTAGCTTAATCTAAACACTCTTTTGGAGCCGTAAACTTTAATAACTCGTTTCAAGCATTAATCACAAATAAATATGAATTCCAAAGATCTTAGAACTTAAATATTCTCACATTCCTATAATGCATAAATAAAGTAGTTAAATATAAATATTCCGATTTCTGATTGCAATATTGTAGAGATCAAGTGCAACGTCGAGATCCTTTAACAACTTGCAACTCCAAACAATAGACAAAGCTTGGAACTGATTTCTCTCTCTTGACCTTTTGCACATATAAAACTTTATACATGTTGTTTCATTAGCGTGCATAATTGA